CTCTGACAACAGAGTTGAGCTGCACCCATTGCTGCCATTTGGTTTCAAACCAGTTTTACCATAACCTGAGTATGATAGGGCAAGTATGCTGGGAAGAGACGTGAAGAAAGAAAGTGAATGTTCTGGGAGGACTGGGTTTCTTCCACGTTTTGACTAGGAGTATCTCCAGTGCAAGTACCGTTTCTTCCAGCTGGGATCTTACATCTTGTCCTTACATCTTCATGCTGCTACAGAACAAAGAACTGTAGCTCATGCAGAGAGAATGGTAATCTCCAGAATAAAAAAAATGGCTGGCATATTTTTCCTGTCATCTCTTATCACTGGTGATCTTGTAGGTGACCTACGTAAGTTTCTTCTTGGAAAGCTAGGCATTGATCCAAATAAGGAGTGGCCCTAATCCAAGTAGCACAGCTCATTCAGGCAAGTGGAAAGATTACACATCCATCGCAAACCTCTGTGCTCTGCTGTGGTTCATTTGGCAATCCACTGAAGTCTGGAAAGTTTTGCCAACTTACACTGACAAAAGTCTTTTTCTTAGTCCAGACAATGTTAGACAGCTCATGTGGCAGTTACTTCCAAGCACTCAATGGAAGATGTTTTCTTTTTTCAGGCTAGTATGGTCCCAATGGAGGAAAAGCTGAACCAAGCGCAGATGGAAGTGCAGCAGCTCAAGAGCTCTGTCAGGAACTATGAAGGGTTGGTTGAAACCTACAAGTCACAGGTAGGCATCTTATCCAAACCTTCAGCCCTTGCAGAAACATGTTTTCTCCCTTCACTGTTGTGGCTTATTCTGTAATGCCTTAACCCTTTGCTTGCTCTTGGAGGATGTTGCAGTTTCATATGGGTTTGGTTCTTTTGTCTCTATTAGCCTTACTTTTTCTCAAATGGCAGCATCCAGACTGCCATGTGCTGTATGCCAGAGTGGAAGACTTGGCTTCTTCACTATGTGCTGATAACTTGGTCATTAGGGAGAGCTGACTCCCACAGCACAGATCTTGATTAATGGAAAACAAAAGACTGGTTTTAATTATTTCACTTTTCCCTGCTTCTTTTCAAAAGGTAAAGGACAATAGTGAGATGCTTTCTTCTGCCTTTTAGCGTGGCAAGTACTGTTCCTTGGCTGCTTTTTTGGGGTGATTTCAGATACTGTGGTAGTAAGAGGATAAGGCAAGAGGGGAGAACATTTGATGGAAAGCCCAAATGATCCAGGTGGCAGAAGCAGAAAGTGAACTTCCAAATACAGTGCTGGGGTGGTGGCTAGTGTGGCAAGAAACTTGTTGCTGATCCTTGAGCAGTTTTAATTACTCCAAAGCATTGCACGTTTGTTGAAAAGTATATATAACAAATAAAGTATGTGGGGTTTTTTGAATGTCCAGGTGTTGAAGACCCAAATGGAAGCAGATGATGTGGCAGCAAAACTGGAGAAGTGTGATAAAGAGAACAAGACACTAAAGGATGAAATGAACAAGGAGATTGAACTGGTAACTATTCCTCTAAAGACTGATATGTTGTAGACATTCATGGATCTTAATGTTCTGAATGTAGTGAAAAATAGCTGTGAATAGGAAATAAAAGGCTTATCTTGAGTTTGCCTTTTCCATTAGTTTTTCTCAGGACTTGTTCATTCTGCAAAAGTTATTGAACATTTAGCAGCTTCTTTTTGAAGCTTGTAAATAGGGTGTTCTTCAGAGGTATTTAAATTGCTTAGTGTGTCTTTTGCTGCAGAAATAGTGGTTTAGAACAGTGGACTAGGTAGGTTACGCCATTGTCTGATGTAGAACAGCTGTCCTCGAAAAAGAGCTTGTACTTCTAGTAGGATTGAAGGCCAGGATCCAAAATACTCGCTCATTCTCACTCCATTCATAGGGAATGCCAGATCCCAAGAGAAAGCCTTTCAGAGTAGGAGAAGACCTTAGGCTTTGAACTCCAACACTGGCCAAATATCCACACAGTGTCGTCATGGTTGCAGACTAACAAAGCTTCATTGAAGTCGAGAAATTTTTTAGTCTTGACCTTATGAACATTTGAAAATTCCTCATGTTCTCTTCTTTGATTATAGGCACGTAAGCAGTTCCAGAGCCAGCTTGCTGAACTGGAAAAGCTGCCCGAGATCCTAAAGATCACAGAGACACAGCTAGCAGAATGTCAGGACCAGCTTCAGAGTTATGAGAAGAAGAATGTGGACCTGTCTGCCATGATTGCAGATCTTCGTCAGCTGGTAAGGGACTGGCAGAAAGTACCTGAAGCACAGCAATCCACAAGTCTGAGACCAATATGAGTTTCTAATCACAGGAAGGTTCAAACTTCGTCTCTGTTCTTGTCTCTTTTTGAAAAGATTAAACGTGCACTGCAAAATAAAGGTGTGTGCCATGTCTTTGTGCAAGAAGTTAGTGGCGTAGCTAGTAGCATTCCTTACTATTTGAAAGATTTCTCATCCCTTGGTGCAGAACTGTATTGGGACTTGAATAGCAGCAGTGATCACGCTTGCTAATGCCAACACTCACTTCTGTTACTTCCATCATCTTGTCAGCCTTCCCTCCTGTGGTTTTCTACTGATCGTGCTGTCCCAACCTTGTTTTCTCACCCTGATTTCAGGTTGTTTTCCCAGTCCCTGTTTTTCGTCCCCAGAAGGACTGCATAGGTATTGCAGGACAATTGTAGACAGGCATGACTTCTACAACCGTGCCTCAGGACACAGCAAATGATTTTGCAGTCTGACTGCTTTACTCTGATTGGCTTGGAATTATAAACCTTCCTGGTATTTCAGGCTCTAAGGCCTTTGTGGGCTGCTGTCATGTTTATGGCTGCTTTTAATGTGTGTGCTTCGCTGTGCTTACAGATGGCTGCTCTGCATGCAAGCATTTATGGACCTGGCTTTTCATTTGCAGTATGGAAGAATTTTCTCATACCTTTCCAAACATTAACCGGAAGCACCAGCAAAATGGATCTTTGGTGCTTTGCTTTTCTATCCACTGTTCCTTTTCCTGGGGCTCTCCAAAAGTTATGAATTGAGCATGTTTCTTTCTGGAGAGCTGCATACATTTTAGGTCGTTGGTCATGTGTGTGTAGTAACTACTCTGTAAAGTAATTACTTACTGTAATTTTTAGATTGAGCTCCAGGGGGACAAAATGGAGATGACAAGAGAGAGGTATCAGTCTGCCCAGGAGGAGAAAAAGCAGCTCACCTTGAAGGTGGAGGAGCTAGAAAGGTTAGAAATACTAGGCTCTCTTGCTCTCTTAACCTTCCATTTCCATCTTCTTCCCATTGTTTTTTCAGGGGATTGAAACAGCTTCAGTTTTGTTCCAGTCCCCCACGTGTCTCCAGGATTCTGTGCATTTGCTTATCCCACAAGGATCTCTAATCAGTAGCTGTCCACTGGAGAGGGAGTTAGAGGTTTTTGCAGCACCTTTTTTGAATGTTGTTAGAAAGGATGATGGCTTACACAGCAGATAAACCAGCTCCTTGTCCAATCTAGCTTGACAATTTTGAGGTTACTACATATTGCAATGTTTTTGCCCATGTTTATAAATTCCTTTTAGTGACAATGTCTGGGAAAATGCAGGTATGTGGACACTCTGTAAGTCCTTCAGTCTTTGAAATTTTGATTTGAGAAATGGAGAAGTGTTTCTTGGGGCTCTCACCTTTCAAGGAGGAATAGAATCAATTCCCAGACTAGTCAGGACATGACAAAAAGGCAGACTGAAACATACTCCATTTAAAATGAATAGGTTTCCTTCCCTTATTGTCTTAACCTAGAAAACTAGAGACAACGAGCGCCCAGAACATAGAATTCCTTCAGGTCATAGCAAAACGTGAGGAGTCGATCCACCAGTGTCAGTTGCGGTTAGAGGAGAAGACCCGTGAATGTAGCTCCTTGGCACGTCAGCTGGAGATGGCCATTGAGGATGCCAAAAGACAAGTAAGTAATTTCTCATGTTTGTGAATTTTCCCAAAACTACGCAGACTGTAAAAGGGGAATAGTGAGAATGCTGGAGATACCTCCTCAGCCTATGACCAAATTAATGAAAATCATCATGTTCAGTGAAATAATAAAATAAAATGTGCTGGTACTGTTTGTCAGCACTTAAACCATTGAAAAACTGAACACCGTGCTCCGGTTTGCAACAGAAGAGAGGAAAGCACAAGACTGAGCTGCTGCTTACGTATGAGAATGTGTCCAATTAAACTTTATGGGGCTTTTGTGGGCAATGGGGTACGGAAAAATCATTCTTCCATAGACCACCCTTTAACAAAGTTGTTGTTCTGTTGTTACACGCAGGTGGAACAAACTCGAGAACGAGCAAAGTCTAGAGAGAGGGCAGCCCAGTCCAAGATGTTGGATTTGGAGACCCAGCTGAGTAGGAATAAAACAGAGCTGAACCAGTTGCGTCGGAGCAAAGACGATGTGAGTGACTAGCAAGGGATACTCTGGCTGTGCTGGTGTGTCCTGGCAGCAACTGGAGTCCGTAAACCAAGGTCCTGTGGATTGCTGCAAAAGTCATGCAGAGCTGTGTCTGAACGTGACATGCTGTTATATGTGTCCGTGACAGATGTGTGATATGACAAGTCTATTATGTCACTAATTCAGGAATGCAGACTCTCATTTGCTTCTTTCTTATAGCAACGATCTGAATGAACTTGCTCTAAACTTACATGTGTGTAAGAAAAGAATCAGACCTTTCTTATGTTCAAATGAGGTTTGCACCAGATATCATGGACAGATTTCAACTTCATTTACTGTGCTTGGTTATCTGAGAGAGAATGCAATTTCTCTTCTAGAGGAAAGGATTTCTTCTAGAAGAAAGAAGGGGAATCTTTCATGATGTCCTATTTACCTTGCTTGTTTTACTTGGAATTGGGTGGCACATGGATCAGGTCAAGTTGCTTTTCAGAAAAGAGTGTGTTTAATTCCCCATAACTATAGCTAATCAGTTTTAAAAGCTCAACTGATTAGCTGTGTCGTCTCTTGTTTTTATCAGCGGGTTGCTGAATGGAGTTGGAAATGGGCAGAACAAATTATAAATATCATAGCACCATCTATGGTAACGTCATCTACTGCTGTGCTCATTCTTGCTATCCTCAGCACTTTTGGGGAACAGTTTAAGTTTAACGTGAATAGGATGAACGTTGCTGTCTTTCACAGTGTTTTGTGCTTCTTTATGTAGGCAGAGCGCCGGTATGAAAGCCGCCTACAAGATTTAAAGGATCGGTTGGAGCAGTCGGAGAGCACCAACCGCAGCATGCAAAACTATGTCCAGTTCCTCAAGTCTTCCTATGCCAACGTATTTGGAGAAAGTGCCTTGCTGGGCTCACCCAGCCGCTCTCGTTCTTCTCCATGAGGACAATGCTCTCCCCGCACGTCTGCTTCTATGCACAAAAGGAGCCCTATTTCAAAGCCATATGTTATTTAGAAAATAGGTTGGCATTCCAGGGTGGCTATCAGGAGACGTTTTCCTCTTTTCCTTGCAGCACGAAATGATAAAATGATGGTGGCATGAGTCCTAAGTGTAGGGTATCAGCAATATCAGTTTGGTGTTGGAGGTTGGTGTTACACCATAAACTGTGCCCCAAAACCGGATGGTTTTGCATATGATGGAAAAGGTCCTTTTCATCCTGTAAGGTCCTGATGGTTTCAGCTCTTAAAACCTGTCAGTGGTTTATTGAGCATGTTAATGTTTATAAGAGCTCTCTTCCTTTTCGTGTTTCTTTTTTTATTCTGTTTCTTTGTTGTGGAGATCATGTGGGGTTTTTTGCTTGTGGGTTTTTTAAAATATTTTTTAAACCGTTGAACATTGTATTGACATATTGGATGATAGGATGGTGGGAGAGGGTCCACCCACCAGAAGTGTGAAGCTGAAAATAACTTCAGTGCCTGGGCTCTACACTTACATGAGATTATCTCCTGAACAACCACAGTGTTCGTAAAGAGTTTTGTACCAGAAATAATGATTTTGGTTTTTTGGTTTTTACATGATTCTTACATACTCTCTGATCCTCACCTTTTTTTCCAAGTGTGATGCTAATGTTGCTTTACTCCTCTCACCCTGATTTCCTGATCCTGAATATCCCCAGGACTGAGTCCAAACCACCTGAATTCAAAGGAAAGATTGTAGTTTAACCTCAGTGGCACTTCAGTCGGGGTCTTGGTGTGAATGCCACGTGAGTTCAGGGTGTGCGTGAAATACTGATTTGGTCTTAAGCCAGTTAAAGAGCAGCTATGGATACTTAACTTCTTCATTGAACCAGCCTGCACGTTCTCCTGGAAAATCAGGTCTTCAGTGTGTTGAGTCCCTAAAACTCATGTGCTCTCTCATGCCCTATTCTTTCCATAAATGATTCTTATGGGGGCAAAAATTAACATTGTTTTTATTTTTATCTCTTTTGTATCCTATTTATGTGCGATGTGGTCATTGGGCAGTATTTGTCATAAGGGTTTTCTGAGTTAATCATTTTTTGAGAGTTCTGTAATTGTGTGTGTGTTTTTAACACTTTAAAAACCCTAAAGGTGCTATGGTAAAACAAACAATAAACTACCTTTTAATTGGTTATGTTGGGGATTTCCTCTTCATTGTGCTGAATCCAGGGTCTTCTGGCCCTTATTTTGGAAAAACAGCCACAGATAGGGCAGTCGGTGCAGGCAACGACGTTCCAGGCCCTTTCCATGTGCTACGGGTGGGGGCCTCTCCCTGCCCCTGCAACCCAGGGTCAATGCCGCAGTGCAGGCTGGCCTCCAGCCCTCCCTCCCGGGGCTCCAAAATAAGGGGAAAAGCGGCGAAGTCGCCGGTGTTTCACGGCCGTGCCCCTTTCCTCGCCGCGGTGCCCTCGGCGGGACTCGAACCCGCGGACCTCCAGCTCGGCGGGAAGGGGCA